TGTGTGGAGGGGAAGGAAGAAAATATGGCAAAAACGGACAGGGAGAGGGGCTGTGGGCTCTGCGGCCGGAGGGGCTGCCTGCCCTGCCTGCCCTGCCCGCGAGGGCAGGAGCCCAGGGGTGCCCCCCCCCGCCTGGCAGGTCCCCCGCGAGCAGCCAGGCAGAACCTCAGAAGTCCAAGGGTGTGAAGTCCCCAAAGTCACAGTCAAAGAGCTCGCTGATGCCCTCGCCCTCCTCCAGGCCGAAGTGGTAGTCCTGTGCCGGCGGCGGTGACAGGTTGATGAACTCGTCCGTCAAGAAACCCGAAAAATCCTCCCTGCTGTGCTCCAGGAGGGCGTCCATGGAGGCCAGCGGCGACAGGCTCACATCCTCTGCTGGGCACTTCCCAGACACTGTGCTCGTCCCTGGCAGCAGTGTCTCTGCGGGGATGGGAAGCAGCCGTAAATTCCACAATACGTGCCAAAAACACCCAAAAAAGCAGTTTTTGGCTATGGAGGAGAACCTGCCTTCCCACCTCCCTGCCTTGCTGAAGTGCCCGAGCATCACTGCAGCTCCATACTTGTGCCAACAAGTTCACGGCTGCAAACACAGCAAGAGCCCCTGGCCAGAGCCACCATGCCATCACGCCAGCACCCCTGTCCCCAGCTCCCTCCCGTCCCCAGCCCCTGCCCCGGCCACCCACCTTGCTCTCCGGGCAGCAGTGGCATGTTCACATCCTGGGCGGGATGCAGGAGCGGGGAGGCTCTGGGCTGCGAGTGGCTGGGAGATGACTCCTCTGCGGCGGCTTTGAAGGGGCTCTTGACGGGGCTACAGACCCCCGAGCTGTCCTCGGGGCAGAGGAAGACGTCAATGGGGCCCTGAGTGCTTCGCACGGAGACCTGGAAAGCCTGGGAAGAGGGGAAAGGAGAGAGATGAGGAGGACAAGGACACCCCGGGAGCCTGGGCTGGGCTGTGCCGAGGGCTGTGCAGAGATGGGGACCAGAGAGTGGCCCCAGCTCACCTCCTCTGGGTCCGAGACCTGCAGCTGGGTCTCCGGGGGGGCTTTGATAACCATCACCATTTGCTCTGAGGGGTCCACAACACTGCGGAGATCCTGGCAGGTCACGTAGGCTGCGGTGTGGCGGGTCAAGGAGCAGACACGGGGATGCTCTCATGCGGTAGCGGGGTGGGCTGCGAAACGCCCCATCTGCAATGCGGCCAGGCTCCCCCCGGGGCTTGATCGTGTCCCCCCCACCCAGCCAGCCCAGTCCCGGCCCTGCACCAAAGGATATTTCTGGTTGGC